CTTCCAAGGCACCCACGACCGCGCCCTCACCATCAACGACTTGCGGCGCATGAAGCAGCGCCCTGGCAAGACCCTTCACAAGTACATTCAATGTTTCACCCAGGTTCGCCTCAAGATCCCAAAGGCCTCGGATTAAACCATCATCTCGGCATTCACCGACGGTATCACAGACGCCAGGATGAGTGAGAAGCTCACCATCAACGACGACCTATGCACGACACTGGAGTTGTTTAACCTGGCCGACAAGTGCGCGAAGGTGGAAGAAGGCCGCCTCGCTCTCCTCGGCAACCCCGATGTCGAGCCCGAATACAAGAAGGCCAAGTCCAAGGAAGTGAAGCGCAAGGGCCCCACCGTGTTGGTGGCGGAGCCAGAGCTGAAGCACGGCCGCGACCATGATGAGCTCAGCAAGGACAGCCGCCTCTTTTGTGTCTACCACAACGTGCGCACCCATAACACCGATGATTGTCAGGAGCTCAGGGCGCCCCGAACGCAACAACCATGGCTCCGGCCGTGTAGGAGGCCGCGGTGAGGGCCGATCACTAGTGGAAAAAAGCCTAGCTATGGCGTGCAAAAAACAGCCTTGCTGGTGTAGGAGCCCCACGCCACCAATATGGCGCTAGTGTTAAAAAATAGTGGTGGCGCTGGAGCCTACGTCAACACTATTATGTATACTAATGGCGTTGGATTTAACCACACGACGGAATTATCAACAATAGCTATGGTGCTTGATACAGTTCAATGACAGTAATAAGATAAATGAATCTCTGGCGTCGCGCAATGTCCGACGCCAGTACTAGGTTTTTGAAAGATGTAAAAAAATACTACCAGGGCAGCAGAAAACCGCTGCCACGGCAGCGTCGTTTATGACAAATTTATATAAACACGTTTTTGTCCCACATTGATTTCGACAAGATAGTTGCATTAATATATACACACACATCGTTTATTCACATGCGTACATATATTAACCACACACTACTAGCTATATAGGTAACTAAACCATGCGTGCATATTACACCTTGTTCATTCAACCATCGTTACTACTAACACGGTACTGCTCTACTTTAGAGAAATTTTGAAGAATATAGGAACCCTTGCATGTCCATGGTGTAGGACAGAGATATCCAGTCCGATCTCCAATCTTGAACTCGCAGTCTCTCAGTACATAGTTGGCTCCATTCATTAATTTTGAGCCACGTGCATCTCGTCGTGGTAGTCATCCATCACGTGAGGCAGAACACATCTAGGGAGCTTCTGTTCTTGAACTTGAGAGTAATATAGTAAGCAATATATATAGTAACACATACATACTATGATTTGAAAGAAGAATGTGTGTATGAAAGCGATCAAAATCATACCATGCATTTTCTAGAAATGTTGTTCTTGTTCAACGTGTGCACTAGTGGCAGGCGCGCGGTATATATGGTGCATCATTTGGACCAACTCCGTCTTGGAAAAACGGTCTTGAATAGCAAGGCATACACTAGTCAAAATGTAAAAAACAGAAATTACACTTTGAAGCACAAATTATTACCATATAATATTTGTAGTCACTTTGAAGCAGGAGGGAGAAGCCATTATTGTTGTCAAGGTGTGAGGATCATCGCACATTCCCCTAGTGTGGCAACATTAGGGGCACTCTTCCATTTTGTGCTACGTTCATGTAATTAAAATCCACACGATCCCCCTTCCTTCGACCCCGCCTTCTCCCGAACGATCCCGCAGGCTCGCCCGAGAAACCTGCTTCTCCCGCACATCTCGGGCGCCCACCCCGAGAAAACTGCCACTTCTTCACGTCCACCAAGTGATAAAAAAATATTGCGCATGTGGGATTCGAACCCACACTTCCTTGGCACCAAAGCGCGCCACCACAATCAACTCAGCCTTAGGTATTTGTTGCTCAAATTAAAGAAACTAATCGTTTGGGCCCCTTTTTTTTACAATTTTGTTACTACAAAAAGTACAGAAAATTACCACGATTTTCCCTCAGGACAAAGTTACCATGGTATTCGCATGCAAGGTATCATGCCTGTGTTGCGTAAGTTACCGTGCTATTTATATAGAACTTACCAGGTACTATGTTTCAACAACTACACCCCTTTCAAAGGTACCACTGTGTTTTGTATACAAGTTATAAGGTCTTCGATGTGTAAAATACCGTGGTACTTACACATAAGTTATCAGGATATGTGTACATCAACCTCGCCCCTGGTCAAAGTTACCATGGGGGATTGTACATGAGTTACCGGGTCTACAATTCGTATATTATCATGGTACTTACACCTAAAAACCTGGGTGTGTTCCGGTAACTTTTTACATAGATCAAAAATTACCATGATGTTTCTGCGTAACTTATCACACCTATAGCGGGTCAAAGTGGGCCGTTTTTCTGGGCCAACCCATGACACGTGTGCCCCTCATGACACTAAACATTATGTGGCTTTTCCGTGGCACACCAAGTGTTGTGTTCATCTAAGAGGACCCGCGAGGCAAGTATATGTTTTTAACAACTTGTTTTCCTTTGGTAAAAAGTTACCATCATGTTTATATTGTAAGTTGTCGGTTATGCGGTGTTTATATTATCATGTTATTCACACAAAAATTATCGGAGATGTTTTGAACAACTTTTTCCCGGGACAGAAAGTTATCATGGTGATTCTAGGTAACCTATCAAGCCCGCAGTGCTTAAAATATCACGCTATTTACACAAAATTTATCAGGGGTATGTTTCAGCAAAATTTTCCCCCACGGGTCAAAAACTTATCATGGTGTTTAGTTATCGCAGTGCATATGTTTTCATCCTATTTACACATAAAAATACCAGGGGAGGGAGGTATAGTACCATGCTATTTACACAGAAGATACCGGAGTATCTTTTCAAAAAAAAATATCTTCCCTATGATCAAAGTTACCATGGTGTTTCTACCTCAGTTATCATATGTGCGCTGTGTATATTACCATCTATTTACACATAAATTATCGGATATCTTTTTACAATTTTCTTCCCCAATGGTTAAAGTTACCACGATGTTTGTAACTAAATTATCAGGTGTATGGTGTGAATGTTATCGTGCTATTTACAGAAATTACCGGGGGGCGGGGTTCAACAAGTTTCTTCCCAATGATCAAAGTTACCACGATGCTTTCACCAAAGTTATCATGCCTTCGGTGCTTATGACCATGCTACTTACACATAATGTACCGCGTGGTATACAAAAGTTATCATGTTGGTAGTGCGTCATTTATCGTGGTGGTGATGGAGAATTTACCACGGGAAAAGTTTATGTGCCAGGTTTGATAGGTGAAACAAAAGTTTTTCAGTGCTAAAATATTAAAGGCAAAACATGTCAAAAACAGTATTTCCCTTAGCTTGTTCAACAATGGGTGTCATAGGTGAGGTGGTTAGCTCCCTTAGTTGATTACTTATAGACCAATGATCAAATCTCAATCCCAGCATTATTTTTGCATGAAAAACGGGGGGCGGGAAAGGAAGGATATCAGGCCACACGGTTGCCACTTACATATTTCATTTTTTTATATAAATTTAGTCAAACTTTGTGTAGTTTGACTTTGATCAAATCTTATATGCACAGTAAAAAGAAACGGAGGGAGTACATGGGCACTTATTGATGAAGAACTTTGGTCGATTAAGTGCCAAGTGCTGGTTGTTCGTTTTGATGGAGAAACTCCCACATGATAAGTTTGTGCTAATGGTGGTAACACTTTGGTCGATCTGGACATCACGGCGCAAAGCAATACACGAGGCGGTTTTTCAAAGCTCCACATGCAATAAAAGAGTTCATCACCCGGTTCATCAGGGATCTAGATGACCCGGAAAAAAAAAGGGATCTAGATGCTGTGAAGGAGAAAAATGCTGCAGATCCTATTCCCATGGCGACTATTGCAGCAGCAGGAACTGTTCGACAGCCCAAAGCACCACCAGAAACTTCGCAAAAATACACGTAGACGCGGGTCGCGGGGTCAGAGCACAAAGAAGAAGTTCAGCAGCTGGGATCTGTCGTGACAACCAAGGGTACTTTCCTGGGAAGTTCAGCTCTAATAATTGATGGGGTACATGATCCCGCAACTCTGGAGGCTATAGCCTGTCGAGAGGCTATCCCACGGGCGCAACATCTTCAGGTGCGAAACTTTGTCATATCGTCACATTCAAAGCAAGTTGTCAATAATATACTGAGGAGCAGTGAGGGTGTGTATGGAGCCATCATCAACGAAATCATGGCTAGATCAGCTCCTTTTTCCTGTAATTTTATTTTTCTTTCTAGACATTTCAAATGGACTACACCATACAGATGTATGGAGACATATTTCAGAGTGTAGATTCACTCATTTTGCTCCGTATGTAGTCACTTGTTGGAATCTCTAGAAAGACTTATATTTAGGAACGGAGGGAGTAGTTCACTTTGAAGCTCATTGATTAGCTAAATTTGCTCTTACTTTAGCTAAGGTCGTCATGTGTGGCTTGGCAAGATAAATCCTGGTTTGCATCCCACATTCTGTGGAATTCAATCAATAAAATGGCTTCTACACCTAAAAAAACATATCCCCTCAAACAAGAACATAGCCCACAATTCTTGTCAGTTCAAATTTGAACTAAAACCACAACAAGAATTATGGGGCATAGGGAGTTTCTATATTAGAAAATGACATGGAATTGAAATGGAAAAGTAAATTGTAGACAGTATGCAATCGAGTGAACTCAATATTTACATCTTAGAATAGATAGCAGCCCAGGTGGAAAAACTGAAATTGCACAAGCACCTTGTTTCATAAATAAATAAATAAAAAGGAGTAGCAGCATAGATTATTATTATTATCTCCCATCGAATTTGTGTTACAGGTACAGAATTTTTAGCACAGCAAAGAGTTGATTCAGCTTCAGCTCTAGCAAGATACAATCACTCAAATGCTAGCAATAATGGGACAAAATGTCCATATTGCATAACCATTCATGCTAAATTATCGAAGGAAATGGGGCTAGACTACTCATCATCAACCGTATTGGACAAAGATAGACAGTCAACCAGAGTATTCGGCCGCTGCAACAAGCCAGATGGTCGATCAATGTGTCCATCCAGGAGATGATATGCTCCAACTTCTAACAGGCTTCTCTCAGTAAAGTCAAAGCTCGGGTAGATGGTGTCAGCGCTAATGGAGCCAGAGGGAAAAACCTCTAGAGGCACCGAGAAAGAGCAATGCATGCCCCAGAACATCGCTCGCCCTGCGCCACCACCCAAGCTCTTGACTGGTAATAGTGTTCCGGTATCCAAATTCACTCGATACATGTCATACTGATAACACGATTTATCCAGCGACGTCAATGGAACAGTCTGACGGTGGATCAGCATCAAGTCACCACAACTGTTGACGAGGTGCAACCCTTCCGAAATTGGTGAGACATGCATATTCAGCTTGGCAGCCACCTCCAGCCGTGGTGGCTGGTTAGGACAGATTTGCAGCGCCATGACACCATCAACCTTAACATAGTAGAAGCGCCCTGCAAACATTAAGGGTGTGTATGTGAACCCATCATGGTTGTACTTCAGCAAAATCCAGTGGTCATCACCGGGCTTTGCCATGCCAAGAATGCGGAACCTATTGAAGCAGAGCACCACTGTTGAATCATCACTAGCAATGCCAGAGCCTGTCGCTAAGAAGTCGTCTATGTTGAAATAGGAAAGCATGACATGGTGTTTAGAAGGAAGCAGCGTGGTGAGCGGTGGTAGCTCTGTGACGTGACGCGTGAGTGGGTTGAGCAGGCGGACGTGGTTGTGGTCATGGAACAGGACAAGGAGGCCCTCCGGGGTGACAGCAAGAAGCTCATGGTCAAGGAGCTCCGGGAGGTCCACTTGGATGAACTCGCCGGTGAAGGAGTTCAGGAAGCAACGGCGGTTTGGAGCAGCTAGTGGTTCGCGGAGCAGTACCCACCGCCAGGGATGGAACCGGCGGTCAAGCCCGCCATGGGTGTGCGGTTCTGTGGAACAGTGCCGCCATGGACGGCACACGGCACGGAAGCGGAGATAGTCGGTGACGTCAAATGCGAGAACGCGCTCAGCGATCAGACCTAACGGCCCATCGTCTAGGTTGGACCAGTCCCTCCTGCGCGCAAAGAAGAATGGGAGTCATAATCATCATATCTCGGGGGTCGACAAGAAATGCTTTTGACGTACCAGTTGTTGTTGTTCGTCCGCGAGCGTTTTGCCCCCCAACAATAATTTGGGGGCGGCTGGATCGAGAGACAAGGGCGCAGCATATGTTTCTGCCCTGGTATCTTTGAATCGTCGGGCTGGCTGGAGCAAGGTCGCAGAAGATGATGAGGCCGCCTTCTTCCTCGCTTCTGGATGATGGAGAGACTAGGGCGCAGCAGATGTTTCTTCCTTGGATTCAATTCATCGTCACATCCCCGGGAGGGGACGATCTGGATCTGAGCACAGGTTGAGGGGGAAAGTTTCCCCCTTGGATTCGAATCATCATCACATCCCCGGGAGGGGAGGATCTGGATATGAGCACAGGTTGATGACAAATCTTGGTTGCTGGTATTGAGCGCTGCCGCTGCTGCCGCCGCCCCTGTGCGTGCGCGCGTCGCCCCCCAATTGGAGGAGCAAGGTCGCAGAAGATGATGAGGCCGCCCTCTTCCTCGCTTCGAGGTACCGCCACGCCGAGATGGTCTTCTCCTTCTATCGGCTCCTCCGCCTTCGCCCTCGTGGCGAGAGGTGGTGCTTGGCTGCTTCGCCCGACGGAAGGGACGAGGGACAGGGGGGGCATGGGATTGGTCGGCGGCTTTCATTCCCACGACCGCGCGCCGCCTCCGCCGCCGCCGCCGCCGCCGAAAGGAGATGACGAGGGTTTCCGCCCCGAAATGGTTAGGGTTAAATTGGTGGGACGGGGGTGTCTTTGCTGGGTTGCTGGGCCTCTCTGATGTCCAGCCCTGGTATATAAGCCTGGAATATGGACTTTTCTCTTCGGGGGTGCCGCCCTTGGTGGTCGGTGTGGGACTATCCTACGTTCGCCTCGATCCGACTTCGAGAAGGGGTCTTCTTTACGTGGTGGCAGAATCTAATAAAAATTCAAATGAGAGATTGACGTGCAAGCCATCATGACTTTCACGTACCATCAAAGATTCTATCTATTCTCAGAAAAAAAAAACAATTTAGGTTTTTTTATATATATAAGAAAAAAGAAAGGAAACAAAAATCAAGGATGAACCCGCCTCACGTGATGGGCCGTGAAGCCAACTGAAGCTCCGGCCCACGAAACGCGAGTGCAACTTACAACGCGAAAAAAGCGGCTTTGTCCAGGGTTCGAACTCAAGCCATTGGACTCTCTTAAGCCAATAGAGCTACCCAATTGCGGCGACTCAAAGCAGCGCCAACATTGTAAGAACAAGTGTGGACGCGCTATTTATAATGTCTTTTTTGCGGGGGAGACGCAATATTTATAATGTATCACTTAGATTTAATTATTTTAAAAAACGTGAATTTGAGAAATTTCATATATTTGGGGAAAAAATCATCATTTTTGAACAAAACATACATCATTTTGGAAAAATAAATCTTCCATTTTCAAGAAAATTTAATAAAAAATGAAAATAGTTAAATCAATTTTGAAAGAAGTTCGTTCAATTTTGGAAAAAGTTCATCAATTTTGAAAAAAAAATCATAGTTTTTTAAAAAGAGTTCATTCAATTTCGAAAATAAGTTAATTCAACTTAGCAAAACGAAAATAAGAAAACAAAAAAACCTAAAAAGAAAAAAGGAACAAGAAAAAAGAAGAAAGGAAAAAGAAAAAAGAAGAAAGGAAGAAAAGAAGGAAAAAGATGTAACTAAACACATCGGGTCTGGGTGGTGGGGTGGTTAGCACACCTTACATACTCCCTCCGTCCTTCAAAGAGTGTACTTCCAATTTTCTTGGAAAGTTAAACTTTTTTATGTTTGACTGTATTTATATAATAATACATCAATATTTATGGCGTCAATTAGTAGCATTCGATTCATGATATAATATATTTTCGTCATATACCTATTTTGTTTCACAAACATTGATATATTTTTGCACAAACTCGGTCAAACTTTCAAATAGTTTGACTCTCCAACAAAGTTGGAAGTACACTCTTTCAAGGACGGAGGGAGTAGGATCAGGAGATTGTAAGTTTGGAACACACTGGAAGCACAGTTCTTTGACGTTAAAACAGAAGAAAAAAAGAAAGATGTGCCGCCCAACGTAGAATGAAGGGTACCTGTTTGCAAAAGAGAATAGTCTATTTCAACCCCCGAACTAACCACTCAGTTTGATTTACAATTCTGAACTACGAAACCGGTCGAAATATACCCTCAACTAACTATGAGTATCAAACCACAACCCTGGTCTTGATTTTTCTTCAGTCAAGCGGTTTTGACTATCTTGACTGCTGACCGGGCACCGCCACATCAGCTTTAACCCCTTATAAGAAACTAAAAAAGAAGAATGTCCCTCCTCTTCTTCTTTGCCGACCACCTCCTTCTCATCCTCGCCGTCTTTGGCCGGCCCATCTCATTCTCGGAGAGGCTACAGGCAGTACTGACGCTCACGGCAACAACGGAGATCACGCCCGAGGCGACAAATGGTGGCCCTCGATACTTTTGCTCCCTTAGAGCATCTCCACTCGTTCGGCCCCCCAGCGCACCCGGCGATTGCATTTTGGCGTATGCGCCGACGGTTTTTTCGCCCTGGGGGGCGATCCAGTTCCCAGCCGCGCGCCCAGGTTTCAGCCCCCAAACGCCCATAAATTCAAGCTTGTCTTTCCCGCTGCCAAAAAAACGCCACAGGTTCGGCGATCATCATGCCACAGTTCGGCGATCAAAAGGAAGGACGCGTAGGCAAAGGAATGCATCAAACGTCGGGCTCCTCTGGCGTGGGACTGGCCGGTGACGGCGTGCTCGGCGTCGGCGTGGCTTCTGTGCTCGGGCTGGTTGCCGGCGGTGTGGCTTCATCGCTCGGGCTGGGCGTGGGCATTGGTGTTGGCTTGGGTGTAGGGGCGATGGTCGAAGCCGACCCGGGCATCTGGTTCAGGATGAGGCCGCGCTCCACCAGGTACCATGCCTTGACCTGCTCGTCCATCCTCGACATGTCTGCCGCCATCAAGAATGCCAGGTCGGTGTTCCTCTTCTTCGTGGCGATGTTGGTCCTGAGAAGGTCGACCTTCACATCCCGCGTACCCCCATTGCGGCGAGGGCGGCGAGAGGTTGGTCGGCGACGCGACGCTGGTCTGGCTCCCCCCACACGGCTTGTGGGCAGTGGCCAGGTGGAATGTTCATCATCCCCGTGCGAGACGGCTCTGCCTAGTCCGCGGCCGCCACGTCCCCGGCCCTCTTGACGATGAGCCTCTTCCGCCGGTCGGCGGTGAATGCCTCCCGGCGCTGAACGTCCGCCCTTCACTCGGCGTTCGACGCGCCCGTTGGTCTTGCCATCGGCGCCCTCGGGTTCCTCTGCTTCAGCTGTGTGGAATCAATGGCGACGCGAGGAGCAACATATTTCTTCGGCGGCATGGCGCCCGGTCTGATGAGGAGAATGGCAGGAACGACGAGGGAGAAGGGGAAAGCAATGGGGGAAATGGAGGGAAAAGGCGGGCAAACGGCAGGAATATGCCTGGTGCCGCCGACAACGCGGCCCCACATGACTTTTTGCTTCAGCCGACGCCCCCAGGCGGTACCCGGTGCGCTGGGTTTGGCTCGGGTTTGCCGGTTGTTATTTCGGGCCAAACCAACGATAATCGAGAAGCTGGGGGCACGACTGGGACAATTTTTCGGTGCCGACGCTAAAAAGGCGCCCTAGGAGGCCTGTTGGGGGCGCGAGTGGAGATGCTCTTACATGATGTGCAGCACAGCCACGGTAGAGGAGTGCACCAAACCAATTTCACTGGTGGACGCCCTCCAATCTCCCTGCCCGGAGAGCGAGGGCAAGGCCCCGTACTCCTCTCCTCGCCAACCACACTACACGGAATAGCGGGGCGACGGCCAGACACGGTGGTGAGGTGTAGCACCATCCTTCATCTGTCATAGAAGTGAAATATGAGGAGGTCCTCGGGGACGGTGGCACTTGTGGGGTGGGCCCATGGGGGGCATGTCCCAGGCGGTAGAGATGCTGCGGCTGGTGCGACGGTGGTGAGGTGCAGCTCCGCCCTTCATCCGTCTCTGGCGACGAAATATGTGGAGCTCCTCGATGCGGTGGCTCTACTGGGGTGGGGCATTTGGGTGACCATATCCTAGGCGGCGAAGATGCAGCGACCGGGAAAGTTGGCTTAGCTAGGGTGGGGCGGCAGCTCTGCTGGAATGGGCCGGCTAGGCCCTATGTCCCAGGTGGCGGTGATGCTACGGCTGGATGCACAGGAGGTGGCCATTGGTCGGCGGGGAAGGATTGGAGAGAGTTAATATTTTTCCATTAAAGGGGTCAAAGCTGACATGGTGGTTCCCAGTCAACAGTTAACATAGTCAAAACTGCTTGACCGAAGCAAAACCAAGACCAGAGTTGAGTTGAGTTTTGAACCTCATGGTTAGTTGGGGTGTATTTTGACCAACTTTGTAGTTCAGGGTTGTAAATCAAACAGAATGGTTAGTTTGGGGTTGAAATGTGGACTTTTATCTTTGCAAAAAAAGGAGCGGGACTTATGGTGTCGTTTAGGATTTGCCATAGTTATCGTCACCAGGGTTGTTAGGTTAACTCCAACGCGCCAACCTAAACAAACGCGAATTTGGTTTGCTTTTTGTCTTTTTGGGTTGGTTGGAGGAGCGCCATCCGCCCACGTCTAGCCAGTGCGCCCAACCGGCCGACACATTTTGTCCGTTCAGCCAATTTTTTTGCAACAAACATATATTTTTCATGAATAAAGTCAGGGCGAGCAGCCATACATACCAACGGCCAGCATACATGCTAGACTACAAAAAAATTGCCAGAGTTCATGTCGAGACACCTACTAGCGCCCGCATACTTGCGAGCACAAAAAAACCCACAGTTCATGCATCTCGGCGCGTAGTTCATGCTGGCACACATGCCAACACACAAAATGATCGCGCTCTCGGCCATAGTCCATCCATCTAGCTCGAGCATCTCCTTTTGCCTCTTGTCGAACCAAAACCCTTTTTCTTGGGGACACCTTGCTCAAGTCGTTTGCCATGATCTCCACTTCCTTTGTCATAGTTCAAAGATTAGGGTTGGAGGACTCCCGAGGGGCCCATAAGCCCTCAGGGAGCGCCCCCCTGGGGCACACCTAGGAGGCTT